TCATATAGGCCCAAACATGAGCCTATGCATAACTCGTATATATTGGTAAGCTTGTGTAGAATTTCTAAAGTATTTATTAATTTTTAAAAATAACATAAAGGACTATCTATTTCTATTATAAGCTCACACATAGGCAAGCTTCAATTCTTATTGATACTCTGTATTGCAAAAACTAGTAAATTCTTATTTAACATAGCTAGCTGAAAAAGTAAACAACTGGGAGTTTCACAAGAGATTCACCACCGAGAATCGAATTTTCTAATTAATAGCAAAACAAATTAATTATACTTAGATGAAGTCAAAAAAGTAATATCGAACCAGTGTGAAAATTTCCGTAAACTTTGTCTTTCAATATAGTTTAGTTTGAAATTTTATAGCAGAAAATTTCTTAATTATTTCCTTCTGGGACCTGAAACATCTCATTATATCTCCCAAGTAAACTCAAATATAAATTTTCACAATTTTCATTGATTTAAACTAGATAATTTATTATTTCTCTTATACAGAGAAATGCGTGATTTTTAAAAAAAGTGATTAGTATCATAGTTGCATGCAATACGATCACTAAAATGTCTTACTTGAATTATGGAATAGTGCTTATTAGTTTCACTCTGTCCGTCAGTTTACAAAACTTCTGTACGCATCAAAACAGAAAGCTGAAATTTTATATGTAAATAGATCTTTACAAGAAACTTATTACCGTAGAACAAAGTTTTTACCTATCTTCCCCCTCTAAAAATTATACCCCTCCAAAACCCTAAAAATGCCATTTTTTAACTATTCATTGCAGGGAAACCATAAACATTTTTTTAAATTTGCAAGCGAATAAAAGCAGTGGATTGTTATTTTTACCACAACATATCACACTTGAATTTTAACAAAACAAAATGGCCGTTAGAATTTACAGTTATCTAAAATCAGTTTTTTCCAAATTTTTGATGTTTTTCTTCTAGACCGTAGGTTGTGAATGTTTGAAATTTTAGCAGCTTTTAGACACTAATAATCTTTAGACACTAGACACTTTTAGACATCGCTCTAATTCAGGAGCCTTGGGTGAACGGTAACAGGATAAAGGGACTGGGCACCCAGAAATACAACCTATTCTACAGGATTGTAGATCCAGCTGAAGGTAAGATCAGAACTTGTGTCTTAACTAAAAAACATATAAAAGCCTTTCTTTGCTCTAATTTCAGTACCGCAGACATGACGGTGGTGAGGATTGAAGGAAACGGCGGGAACCTATTAATGAGCTCAGTCTACATGGCTCATGATAGGCCTGCTCCACCTCCGGAAGTTCAAAACCTAGCAGAGGTTGGCGCAGCCGAAGGAGCAAGTCTGCTTATGGGTTGCGACGCCAATGCCAGACATACCCTCTGGGGCAGCACAGAGATCAACGAACGAGGTGAGTCTTTATTTAATTTTGTCTTAGATAGTAATCTAGAGATAGCAAATAGAGGCAACACCCCTACCTTCACTTTTCCTAGCACAGACAGGTTTGCTGGCTGGGAAGATGTGATAGATATAACACTCAAAACTAACAACTGTATAATCGAGGACTGGAGGGTATCTAGCAAAAGGTCGTATTCTGACCATGCCTGGATAGTCTTCACGGTGGGATTCGAAGTTGGGAATCCCAAACCTTTTAGGAACCCTAAAAGAACGGATTGGGTTAAATTCAGAGCCATCGTGCGGGCCAAGCTCATGGTCATGCCCGATATTAACAACTATATTAAGGAAGTCGAAGAACTTGATGCGCAAATCAGTAGATTTGAGAAAGTCATGGGCGTGGCTTTCAGAGCATCCTGTCCTTTGAAATATTCAAAAAAAAAGTATCCCCCGTGGTGGAACGAAGACTTGAGTAATCTCCGGAAGATTACCAGGGATGTCTTCAATATCTGCTACAAGAATGGGTTCTGGCAACCTTATAAGGAGTGCCTGAGAGAGTATAAAAGGGCTATCCGTTCCGCAAAAAGCCAGGGTTGGAGGGATTTTTGCGGAACTGTAGAATGTACCAGGGATTCTGCCAGATTGAGCAGAGTGCTTTCCAAGGACCATACCGGTCCTTCTTTTCTGAAGGATGAGGGTGGGACATGGACAAAAACATCTATGGAAACTCTCAATTTACTAGTGGACACGCATTTCCCGGGTAATACCGGGTCGGCTCGGGAGGCTATCCAGTTGGATTCCCTTCCGGGGCAGCCTGTGTCGAGTGAAATGGTTGAAGCTATTATAACGGTGGAGAAGGTTAGCTGGGCGATAGACAACTTCTCTCCATACAAAACGGCGGGGATAGATGAGATATTTCCAGCTATGTTACAGAAGACGAAGGAACTAATAGTTCCGTGGCTTCTAAAAGTTTTTAGAAGTTGTCTTATCCTTGGATACGTGCCCAAGTCGTGGAGACGTGTAAAAGTTGTTTTCATTCCCAAACCGGGAAGAAGGGGCCATGAGGGCGCCAAAGATTTTCGACCAATTAGTTTGACTTCCTTCGTTCTAAAAGCGCTGGAGCGCGTTCTGGAGCTAGGGCTCAGGAACAGAATGAAGGAAGTTCGACTTTCGCCTTCCCAGCATGCATATTGCGGGGGAAGGTCCACAGACACCGCACTACACGAGGTAGTGAGGACTATCGAACAATCTATCCATTATAAGCAATACACGTTGGCAGGTGGAGGGGCCTGAGCACATGTGCAACGGCTAGGAAGACGTGGCCGAAATACGACCATAAGAAATCAATGGGCCTCCTGGCGATGCCTCGACCGGACATAGCTAAGTTAGTGGCTGTGTACACGGGGCATTGGCCTGTGGGGGATCATGCAGCTAGGCTGGGAATTCCCTTTAATACGTCATGCCGCAGTTGTCGGGAGATAGACAAAAAAGAGACGCTTTTTCACTATCTCTGCGAGTGTCCGGCTCTTCAAAGGGCCAGGTTGTTGTCATTTGGGGAAACGGACATAATGGAACTGGGGAACATTTCTAATAAAAGTATCGGGGACGTAAATAAGTTCCTTAAAAGAACGGGGTGGCTCTGATCGCTGGCCCTGGACCAACGTACTTTGACAACCGGGTTTCACGAGGCGGTGGTAGCAAAACGGCACGTCAGTGCTAATTGGGGTGTTGGCCAGTCGGGTCGCACCGGCCACTCTAACCAACCAACCAACCAACCAACCAGATACTAATAAATAGTTTATTTCATTGGAAGAAAATTTTTTTCCACCTCCACTCCCTCTCGAACTATCACCTTTAGAAATTTGTGAAATTCGAGCTTTTGAGATCTTATACTTTCGAAACTGCAAACTTTTTAAATAAAAAAATATAATTATTTTTTTTAACTCAAACAATTAACCCATAAAATTAAGCATTGTGTTAACTCTTGAAATTTATTTTTGCTTTATTTCAAAGACTGCATAAATCGTTCATCCGAAATGTATGCAATCTTTTGAGATAGTTTCGTGAACGAATGAAAGTAATTTTAATAGTGTAGTAAGTATAGATTCTTTTTAAAAACAGTATTTTCACTTGCTGAAGGAAAAAGTAACTATTGGTTTGACCCAACTTTATAAATTAGTAAGCAAGAGGTTGCCTATGCCAAACGGAATTCATATATAAAAGGCGATGAGAAGTTTTCAAAGACTTTTAAATCAGTAAAAGTAGGTTTTCATATTATGTCTCCATAACAGGATTAAAAACACGTATATATATTTATATATATACAGTATGCCATAGTAAATATTTTTTAAAGAATAGTGTTTTTAACCCTTCCAATAAGACGGCTTGTTTCACTTCTTCGATAACATATTTCTCTTATTAGGGATAAAATTTCGCACGAGATATTTTTTAGTGTTTTTCATATAGACACATAGTTTTTTAAACATTTAAATGTAGTGACACACTTCAATACGCTTAGCTAGAAATGAACACAAATTAGGACACAAAATAATTAATTCAAAAGAAACAAAGAAGAACATTTCATTCAAACTTTTGTTTCTTTTATCAGGATACAATTTTCGAAAATTAGTCAGTCAAATAGATATGGATAGAAAAGTGCATTTGTTCAGTTTTAAACCCCGTAATCTGTCAAAATTAATGGATTGTCATGTGCCGTTTTGCATTTTTATGTAAACTATATTAAAGTGCAAATGTTTAGACAGTTGAGTAAATTTTTCTACCTATAAAAATTTTAATAATAACGGAAAAAATTTTAATAGAATTTAAAGGAGAAAGTTTATAATCGAGATAGTTTAATAAAATTAAACTATCCAGTTTTTTTAAGTTGTTAATAAAATTTTAAATAGATATTTGAACAAAATATAATTTAACCAACTCAACTAAAATAAAAATGTTTTTACAAAATATGTGAATATTTAATGCTAGATTTTAGTTCTCATGTCACAGGAACCTTGAAAATTGAAAAACAAAATCCCGATGCCTCATATTTTGAATTAACATCAAAAATTGTTGTGCTATCTGGTACTACTGCTCATACAACACGTCATTTTAACCATTTTTACTTTTTTAAATTGTTACCACAGATGAAGCAACAGTTGGTTTTTCTTTAATAAAGTTCAATTTTCTAAAACAAAGAGAAAATTTTATCATTCGTTTGGCTTTCACAATACAAACTTAAAATTTTTAAAATATTCCCCACACAAAAAGTTCCTTTTTGTGAACAGTTGAGTAATATTTTAATTTATTAACCGTATTTTGCAATTTCGTTTCTTAATGGGCTGAGGAACAAATTCTTTTCTCTCTAATAAATGAATTTCACCAATGATACGTGGTGAATTAGTTGGAATAAATTTTTACAACATTGGTGAAAATTCATGAAATATTAATTTTTTTTTTGTTTAAACAAAATATTGTATAAAATTTTAAAAATCCTTAACTGAAAATGTTTTATGTAGTTGTTTAATTGAATGTAGTTACAAAAAAAATAAAAATCTCTGTATATAAAAAGAATAAGTGAGTCTCATTTTCTTCCATCTATTTCTAGTCAACGATTCCGTCAGGACCATTTAGTCATCTGACATTTCTCAAAGGTTTCGGATCGAAAAGAAATTCATTCGCTGTTATTTTTTTTCCTTTTTTGAAACTGTTTGAAAAACATCATTCATTTGTTTTTTGTTTCAGTCCATTCTTTTATAAAAAAAAATATTTTTGAATTAAATGGAATATTTTCTTTTTTGTGTAGTTTAAATTTAAAAAATTATAAACAAAATTTTAATTTAAAAATTTTTCTTTAATAACAAGCATTTTTTGTGTACAAAGAGTGTAATTTGCTGGGTTAAAACAAGAGATGAGCTTTTAAAACTCAAAGGAATAAAAAGATTTTAAATTTTAATTAACATTTCTAATTGTTGTTTATGCTTGCTTATTGTGCTAAAATTTTATGTTAGAAATATTTAAATTTGAATTAATTTGAAATGAATACAAGTGAGTTAAAATAGAAGTACGATTAAAAGGTACGATTAAATATAGTCAACCTTGATCTTAAATTCTAAGGATTAAGTCTTTATTTTAGTTCGTCTTTTTATAAGTTGATGTGAAATTTTAAGTTCTGCTAAGCTCTTATTGTACACACTGTTTTGTGTAGTCAAATGTATGCAGATAACAAAAGTTAATTGTAGCTGAAGTAAAAATCATGTACAATTATAAAAAGTAATAAATTATCAATAAGGCATAAATAAAGAAAAAATATAAAATATGTATGTACATATATATGTATATGAAATGAATTAATAATTATTTATTGTGTATAAAAAGAAAAAAATTAATAAAGGATAAGTTAAAATCGTCGCACACACATGAACATGAAAAAGAAAACCAATTTGAAGAACAAGAGCAAGAGATGATAACAAAGTGAAGTGAACGAAGGATAAAACAAAATTTTTCATTTTATTCTGTTGACAATTTACTTACATGTGTACATGAATATTCAATAAAATATTACAATAAAAATAATACCCAATGTAAAATAATTATTTATTGTATGTGTTGTGTGTATATACATAAAATACGGGATTTCAGTTGAATTATTCTCAAAAAAGGATTTTGTTTATTTTACATATATATATATATATGTACATACATGCTGATTGAAAACCGATAAAATATTTATCGAAAATAAATTCAACAAAATAAATAAAAGGTAAAATAAATTTCTGAAATTCAATTATTGTAATTTTAAAATAAAATTTAATTAATAAATTAGTAAGTTATATGAAAATTTGTACGATCATTAGTCAACAATCTGACAGCGTTTAGAATCATAAAATAGGGTTCAAAATGAGAATAATCGAGGCTTAAAAGTACTTTTGAAATTGTGATTGAGAATAATGGAAAGCTAACACTGTTCAACAGAAGGAAAAATCAAACTAAATGCGAATCTTAATTAAGTATTAGAAATTAAATATTTATTTCATTATCAAGTAACAAAATCATATGTGATAAATTTGTACAATTAGCGCTGCTGCTGTAATTTCCACTAAAAAATCATCAATTATCGCTTGTTTAATCAGCCATTCTCATGCAAAATATCTTAGGTACGGCCTTCGTATTTTAAAATTAAACAATTAATTACAAGATATGTAACTTGAGAATTCAAACAGGAATTGAAGAAATATAAAAAAAATTCTATAAATTCAATAGAGCAGCTTCATTACTTTAAAAATCACAATGCAAATAATTTAATATTGTCGGACACTAACGTTAACCTTCAATTTCACAAATTTTACTAAAATTTCTGGCCATTAAGCTTAATTATAAGTCAAGCGAATTTTAGAGTATGGTTGATAAAATTTTCACTGAAAATTGTAATGAGTTGGCAGCACATATAATAAAATTGCAATACAGTAGCCAATCAAACTCACAAAAACTTATTCGTTATTAAAACTTGTTTACGGATTTAATAACACCTAAAATTAAATTACATAAACTTTTAACTGAACAAAAGTTTCGAAAACCTTCGGCATCCCATTGAAAATTTGTTTTAAAATTAATTTAACTGAATTGAAAAAAATCATCTTAAGAATAAAACTTTAGTAAGTATGAAAAACAAAAATTCATCTTTAAGTTGGATGCTTGTGTTTTTATAAAATAATGCATGGGCTGTAAAATATTGCAAGTTAAATAATTTAACATTATGTTAACCTCCCTTCAACTCCAAAATATGCATATCGCATATTCATACATAGATGCATATATATTTACATATATACTTGAAATATATTAAATGTTAATATCCTTGTGGTTTATATAGAGTAAGAAGTTTATGTGTTAAAATGATGCACAGTAAACAGTACGTTACACTACTATTGTAAATATAAAAACACTTTAGTTCTCAGAAATCGTAATGACATGTAGATTCTACGAAACTTACCACACATGAATGCATATATGTATTTTGTCTACAGCGTATGAGTATAAGTTATAGTCGTTGGTAGAAAATAAATATTATACTTAAGGTGAAAATGCAAATACTTAACAAATTTAAAATGTATGAAAGTATTTTTTTAATTATGAACGAAATAAAAACGTAAACATAAGATGATAAGAAACTCACTTTCTCACTTTGCATAAATTAAAATATTTTAGGATTTCACACTTTTAACGAGTAGGTACTTTTGTAATATTTCATAATACAAAATAACAAAATAAATTGACTACATTTGTTATGATATAATTACAATGATTTTGAATAATGCAATGCTGAGTTCCAAGCTTCAATGCTATTAATTTGCAACCAATATTAATAAGAGTACAATGAAGAAGAATGGTGAAATTATCATGTGATGTCACATGATATGAAGCTCGATGTGATGTCACCAGATCTCTTCCTTTCTTCTTTTACTCGAACCGGTCTGAATTTTTTAAAAAAACCGGCCAAGGATAAATGCCAGGGATCATTTACATGTCCGTAGTCCGCTATAGAGTTATATAGATTCAAGAAATCTTCGCCTGAAATCCAAAGCCGATAAGTATAGAAAGTGGGTCTCGATTTTCTCCTTCTCGTCGTGAAACTAGCCTTCACTAATATCATTAACAGAGCGGTCCATCCTTCTAGTTTGTTAGCCGATAATGTCCGCATGTAAAATGTAGAATTGATCACAATTTTCTTGACAGGTACATAGCATGTTGTTCCACTTAGATGTTACAATTACTTAAATTTGAGTTAGCTTTCTTGAAATATAGATTTTCACCTAAAAATATTTTCGACACCTGAAACATTTTGTATAAAAGAAATCTCCCTAAAATTAACAATATTTTTATTGAAAATTACATATTGAAAATAAAAATATTTTATTTTTCGCAATATCTCTAAAAACAAGTAAAGAAAACGAGCAAAGTTTAAAAGGCAGGAAACAGGAGGCTTATTTCTAGCGATTCTCGAAAAAGAGCCCAAAATAAAAACCTTTTCAAACACTCATATCAAACACAAACTTCAAAATTGTTTATTCCATCAATTTTCAATTTAACAATTATTTAATTGAACGCCGCTAAACTCCTTCAAAACAAAAAAATTGGAACGTTCTTTAAAATGCTGTCTTACCTTCCTCTTGCTATTTAAAAATTGAATACGTGAGAAATACATAAAGAAAATTGCAGTGTCCGCACATTATATGAGGCTTACTCTCTTTTTAAATTTAAAGTTCATGTAATGTTCAACATTATAGGGTCATTTGACGCAATTTGCACAGATTAGTAACCACAAAATTTCTTATGTGAAATCTTCAAACCCTTTATTTCTATATACAATTAAATACAAATTTATTAGGTCTTCTTCCCTCAGATGATTTTTTTTACTTTATTGAACAAGTAAGAAATTTTATATTAAAGGTTGATTGAACCTTTTTAATAATTGATGTAATTTCCACGCGTTTCTTAATAATGATGTTTATGTCATTTGATAATTATTAAAATCTTAACAACAAAAATTAATTAATCCTGAAAATACAAAACAAAATATCCTTTTCAATCGAAATTATTGAAAACAATAAAAGTTTTGAAAAAGATGATTTTCTTTAAGAAAAAAAAATCCTTTAGGCATTCTAAAATTTCGAAATATTTCAATTTAAATAATATGGTTTTTTAAGATTGAAATGATTTTTTTATAATTGAATTTTTTTCTGTTGTCCTTGTAATGAATCTTCTAGCTTGTGTCATTAATCTTTTTTCATATAGAATGAAATGTGATCTTTTTTTTTTAAATTGAAAAAATGTCAATCAATCAAATAGAATTTTATTTTATGTTTAAAATTTATATTGCGATTTTGATAGATAGTTTAAATTTTGAAATTCAATTGACACATCTGATTTATTGTAAATTTTTTTGGGCATTTTACATTCAGTTTCAGTTTAATCTTATATAAAAAAATAAAATTTCGACTCTTACTTTTTAACTTTTGATTTAAGTTTGCGAATTCCTGAATCTTATGGGATGCAAATTACACGAATACAAAGTTCCGTTCTATAAGTCGCAGTATCTAAAAGAGCCAAATTGTTGGCTAAGCCTGTTGAAATACGATGAAAACTATGTATAGCTGGCTAAAAAGAAATTTACCTTTGCCTTGGTTAGAAGATCGAAAATGGGTAAAACTTTTATTCCGGACTGGGTGCTTAATCTCAAGGGTTCCCGAGCTCAAGAGATTTTAACGCATTTTCTCCAAATTTTTACTTATTCAAGTTTTTTGAATTATAACTTTTAATCTGAAAGAGGTAGGAACTTAAAACAAACAGTTTCAAAAAGATCTAGTAAAGGGCTTAGAATACGTATGCTACTTGAATCTGTATCTAATGTACCTTCGGAATACCAAGCATTTAAACTTTAGAGAAAATCAGATTTTTCCCTTGATTTTTTCAGATTTTTCTAGTTGAATAATTTCGTAAGAAATTTTTTAAAACTTTGAATTTTTTGTTATAGAATTTTTCCCACCTTTAATTTAAATCCTCAAAGATTAAAAAAATTTTTATGACACAGAAAATTTAGCACAAAAACTATTTCTATGTAAAGATTTTTAAGCTCCCATTTTTCACTATTTTTGTTTTTACTTATTTTAAACGCTGTAATTATCGTGTGTTAAGAAGCCGTGTTTTTGATAAAAAATCAAAACTTTAGTGTTTTTATTGAAATGTAACAAAAATAATAACAAAATTGAAACGAAATTTTATACAAACTTTTAATTTGAAAAACAAAAATTGAATTTAAAAAATTTGAAATTTTTGAAAAGAAAAACTAGAATTTTGTATTAGGAAAAACAAAAAAAAAATCTAGTAATCAAAAATGATTTTTCAAAACTTTTCTTGGTAAAAAAAATTTATAGGTTTTTTATTTTTGCCAATTTTTATAAGAAATGGTACCTATATGGTTTGAAATTTTTAAATGCATTTTCCTCAGATTGGGTGCAATTTAAAAATTTAAAAAAAATATTTTCGAAATCTAGGCACCATTTAGCATCTGAAATTATTGAAATTAACCAGCTGGAGCGAATTTTTAAAGACTTGCCATACAAATTTTGACATTTATTTTAATGGAAAAAAATTTTTTTAATGGGAGAATTTAATTTTTTTGTACAAAATGGAGTTTGTAAATGATATGGTATTCACATTATGAAGTTACTAAATAATTAATAAATAATTTAATAAATTTTAAACAAATTTCTACAAAAACTAAATTGGCATACGGTTGATGCAACTAAAGAGGCGTTCCAGTAAAGCAATTATGTAATTTAAAATATGTGATTGAATAGAAATCAATTTAAAAGAAGAAAAACATGAATTTTGTCGAATTAGATGAGTTTCCTTGTAGAATTTAGCGTTTGTTTTGAGAAATTTGCAAAATTTTTGGATCAGGAATTCGTATTTTTCCAAATTTTGATAAAGAATTATTAAATTGAATTTAATTTTCATTTTATTAACATCTGGTTTGATTTTAATTGAATATGTGGCTCACAATATTTGTGGTTTTTGTGCTATATCTTCTGCACCATAAAAAATGTCTGAGAACTCAAATTAAAGCTTAAGCAGGTGGGAAAAATTCAATAGAAAAAATTCTTACGAAATTATACAGTTAGAAAAAACTAAACAAATAAAACAAGGGAAAAATTTGATTTTCCCTAAAGTTTGAATACTTGGTATTCCGAAGTTACATAA